GTGTTTAAAGTAATTATTGTGTTATTGTATGCATAAATGTGGGCCAATCAAAATTTAAAATAAAAATAATTAATTAATTAAATAAATAAGGGTAAATAGGTAATTTGATAATTAGTTTCCACAAATAATATTCTATAATTATGGTAACCATTGACTTCAGCTACCTAGGTTTTCTCCATCCATCGTCTGCTTTTTAAAACCACAATGACGAATTAAAGGGGTGTTTGGCTCGGTGACTCTATCCTTCTCCCATTGTCGGCAGCCCCAAAAGCAACAGCGGCAGTGGCGGTCGACAGACAAGAAGGAGGCATGAAGGCAGGGATTTCTTTTGGACACTCATTCCACCACCAAATCTTTTGGACACCTTCCTGCACCCTAGACTCTTTACTCCCTAGTTCCCGACTACTTTATTGAGACTTTGCGGCATCAAAGAGCCGGAAAAAAAAGCTCCCGGATTATAGTATTGCCCAAATAATTACCGGTTTTCGCTATAAACTCTCTGTAAGTTAGGTTACACTTACTACACCTTAAAGTGTGACTTATATTTATATTCATAGTCGTTGTTATGAATGTATAAATAAAGATTTATTAGTAATTCTAGTTATAATATTGATTGATCTACTTACGAGAGAGGTGTCTAGAATAGTCAAGTTGGCTTGGTTGTTAGATTTCATAAAGGCTATTGTTGGGTTTTGATATGAAATAAAAGTTTGTTTTTCACAAAAAGGGACAACGAAAAACTTTAAAATAACAAGTTTATTTTTAGTTCATAACAAAACCAAACCATCATGGATCCATTTATAGAGGTTAGAATGAAATAAAACAACCATAGGATGTTTTAGAGATAACCTTTGAGGCCTTTAAACTCACTAGGTTTTGGGGTGTTGATGAAGATAACAAAAGATCAAAGTGTATGATCTTCTCTACAAGTATCCACCATCAAGAGTAAGGCACTTGGAATGCTAGTCCCTTCTTGTATTCTTGAGTGTCTTAAACCTTTGAGTGCTTAACTCAAATAAGCACTAAAGGAGACAACTCAAGAGGGCTTCTAAACCACCAAATCAAAGCACCAAACTTCAAAAGAAGAGAACTTCTTCATGCTCACGGTTTTAGAGAGAATGAAGGGAAGAAAGAAGTGTTTCACTCTTGCAAAAATGCAAGCCTCATGCATCTCTTATGTAACCCATGAAAAGTAAGGCCTAACCAGTAAAATACGTTAAAGTAATGGCTAGCCTTTAGAAGCATGGGAGACAAAGCATGGAGGTTGAAAAACAACCTCCATATTTGTTTATTAATTTCGGTCATACCTTCTTAAAAGAAGAGGATTCTTTATTTTTTATAAACTCCAAGTTTATAAAATATAAACTTTGTCTTTAGGTAAAAGACAAAAGAATCCAACGAGTCCAAAATGTTGTGCATGACTTATTAATTCATACCATATGAAATAATAACTAGTTATACTCTCTTATAATTCTTATTTTCACAAAACAATAACTATTCCATAATTAAAATACAAGAATTTATATTATTTATTAATAATCACATTAATAATAAATATACAAAATGTGTCAACTTGATAAAGGTGTGACCCTATATGATCATATATTATTAGCAATATCACTTCATAATGATTCCTGGGCATATAGATCGAACAGCTATATGCCGCAATGGTCTTGCCTCCCAATTGTCCTGTCTGACTGATCATTATTTGATAGAACTATCAGTATTCATTGGTATTAATGAAAGATCTAGCTTTCATTACCAGACCGTTATAGAGATTTATAAGTTATAGTATTATAGGTTAATACTTGTTAGACGTGTTACCCGTCAGTTGGATCGCCAGTGGAATCATCCAGATAGCTACCAATCATCTGAGTAATTGTCCGGGTGAGTTATCTCATTATACCATGTATTAAAATATAAACTCATGTATGTTAGGATACAGAGCTAGTAGAGTAGAGTTGATAGTATAATGTGCTTAAGTGAAAATGTTCATGTACTAGTAGAATCTAAAGTGAAATCCCTATGTGCGTAATTGTGATATTAGATTTAGTTAGGGGATGATGACCAAAACGACAAAGAGGTCGGGAGCCTATAGGCCTGCATGTTGACGAAATGGCATGTAGGCCGTAAGTACACATAGACCCGTGCTGACAAAATGACATGTAGGTCGTAAGTACACGTAGACCTGTGTTGAAGATGAAATGGTCGGGCTGTAAGTCTAGAATACACATATTATTGACAGATATGTATATATATTGTAGTATATGGTATTTTGGAGAACTCACCAAGCTTCATGCTTATCCAGTTGATTATAAATGTTTTTCAAGTATTTCATCGATTTGTGAGAATGGCAAGGTTTGACTGTACACACGCACATTCACAACATCTTTCTGTTTAATGTAATTACACTCTGATATAATTGAATAAATGAAAATGAAAATTTTGAGTTGAAAATCAAGACGTTACAAATTCTTTTCTAATCATACAACTTTTATAGTGACTATTTTTTTATCGAGAGTATTTTAAATTATTATAAAAATGTATAAAAATATATAAAAAATGTAGTGAAAAACATTTAGAAAATGTTTTATGAAAGTTGTAAAAAAGGTTATATGAAAGTGTACAAAATAAAAAAAAAGTTATAAAAACAATTAAAAACATTTAGAAATATTTTCTATTAAAAAGTTATAAGAAATTGTAATTTTTCATTTTTTCTTATAAAACTGTAAGTCAGGTTCTAAAAGAAATTGTAAATCAAGTTTAACTATTTCGTAAATAAGTATAAAAAGTTATATATTTTTTAATTTCAAAAAAAGTTATAATTTTTTTCCAATTATTAATTTTCACAGTTTGAAATTTAGATGGTTTAATGGTGACATTTTTATAATTTGAATGGTTAGATAATTCAAAAGTTATTTATAAAATTAGACAAGCCCTGAATTAACATATCATAAAGAAAAAAAACCAAAAAAAAATTTAAATAATTAATTATTATGATTTAAACTTAAATGCCTAAATAATAACATTTGTAAAATTTTGGTGGTGACTTAAGTAAAAAAAATTATACAATAATTACTAATAATTATTACTTCCTCAAGCTCATTCCAACTTGGTTAAAGAAAAGTAATTTTGAAATGTTAAAAGGACATTTTGAGTAAAGAATGAAAGTTTAGTAGTCAAAATGATAAAAAAATAATAAAGACAGAAAAGTGAGATTCCAATGTAGGAGAGAGAAGAAAGGTGATTGGTGGCATGGCTGACACTTGAGCCAAGTGTTCTGAGTTTGATTAACTCAATTGGGTTAAAATTTAACCGCAATTCACCCTTAGTTTCTAACTCGTGTTAAAATAATAATAATAATAATAATAAAATAACCATATATTTTTTTATATAGAAATATATTAGGAAATAACCAGATTAGGAACAAATAACACAAATGGTTATCAATTTTAAATTATATATGGATTATTAGAACTTATATTTATTAATAAAAATCAGGTTCGATTTTTTTTTTAAATAGCTCAAAATTTTGAACTAGTATTTTTTAGAGAAGTGGGATATAAAACATTTCATATCTAATTCAAACATCTATATTAAAATTTCAACTATTATTTTATAAAAATATAATTTACAAATTCGTTTTCGTAAAAAATTAACTAAATAACTTTTAAAAATGCTAATTTTCGAACTTGATCATTTGTGTTACTTTTTTAAAAAACTGATAACTTCTTAATATTTATTAAAAGAAATATGATATTTGAGGTGAATTTTTTTTTATATATTTATGGATTATAATGTTCTTTTATCTTTTTTATAACAACTTTATATTATAATTTTTAATAAGATATCATTTTATAAAAAAATTATAATCTATATTATTATATTTTTATTCTTTGATTTAAATTGCTTTATATTTCTAATATCATAATAATTTATAATTCTCAAAATGTTGTAATAATTTTTTTCAGTAAAAAAGCAATAAAAATACATTACTACATCTTATATGTAGCCTTAAAAATACGTTGTCTTTATTTTAAACAAATATAATATTTTACTTGAATTAATAAATTCAATTGCTTTTCGTAACAAAATACTATATGTTTTTTGTAATTTAATGTAACCGTCTACAATACATGTTGTCCAAGTTAAAACTGTATATAAATAATAAAAAATGACAAGTTTTTTATATATATTACATGATAGAAGAATATATTTTACATGAATTTATAAAATAGTAATATTTTGTATTTTTTTTAATACTTACAAAAAACGTACATATACTATAATACTAACAAAAAAACATTGAGTTATAACTTATAAGTTATAACCAATAATTCAAGCATTCCATTAAATTTAAACACCAAATTATAAAGTAATTACAATTGGAAAAATAGAATTGTCCAAAATTTAGCCCCAATCAAATTTTCTTCCCTAAAATCTTTGTGGTTTTTCTTCTTGTTTTTGGTAAGCAACTTTGTAGGCTGATTCTAGCCAAACCCACCTAGCTAAGCCATATATCTACCTCCCTCTCACAACCCAATTTGCTGACTCTCGAACACCCTTTCTTTCTCTCTCTCTAAAAAACCTCCCATAAATCTAGAGAGAGAAAATGAGGAGAAGAAGGCTGTCACCAACTTCATCGTCTTCGTGTTCATCTTCATCTTCATGCATTAATGAACGCCAAGTTCCAAAGCCCAAACGATCCTCTAGAACCCACAACAAGAACAGCACTCTCAATTCAAATCAAAATGCCGCTGCTGAAAACACCCGCAGAAGCTCCATTTACAGAGGTGTCACCAGGTTGTGTAACAGTTTTTCCTCAATTTTTTCTTGAAATTAGTTGGTTTTTGGAATCTCAACGGATACCCATTTGTTCAAATTTGCTAGTTTTTTGAAATTTGGTTGCTGATTTTTGAAATTGGGTTTTGGTTGTAGAACAGGGGAAGAGGGATTCTGGGTTACATGCATGGGAACATTCATGAAATTTGTGGGTCAATTGGCGAAAAGAAATTAAAGTTTTTCAAAAATGGAATCAATTCGATTCGATAACATGAAATTTTCAAACTTTAAGCTGTCATAAGATCATTTTCTGAAAAAATCCCAATTTAAATTCCGCACATGCATGTCAGTGATTAATCGATTATCTGATTTTCAGGGCAATGGGTGAAAAAAAAACTCGAATTTTCTCGAAACAGAATGAATTCGATTCGATATCTTGTGAATTTCAATCTTCAAAAGCTTAATTTTCGCGAAATTTCTAAATCAAACTCAAACTGACAAAGATCAGAGAGTACAATCTGTACAGATTCTGGGTTACATGCATAAATTCGTCTTGATTTACATGAAATTTCGAGCTGCATGCATGGAAATACGAAAGAATTAATGGAAAATTGTAACAGGCATAGATGGACAGGAAGATTTGAAGCACATCTATGGGACAAAGGAACATGGAACAGCATCCAGAACAAGAAAGGGAAACAAAGTGAACACCATCTCTCTCTGTTTTTTTCTTCATTTCTTTAAATTAATATTTAATTCTTTAATTAAATTAGTAATAAAATCAAGCTAGAGAGATCTGCAATCTTAATTTTCTGATAATTTTTATTTTTAATTTATCAATTAAATTTTTAATTTTGAGTTCTGACTCTATCCTTTTGGTTGTATGGTTTGGTGTGATCCCCTGTTCCTGATTGCCACCATGGTTTCTGCATTTATAGTTTATTTAGGTAAGTCTTATTTCTCTCTCTGCCTCCTTTTCATTACTTTTTTTTAACATACTTTAATAATTTAAGTGCCCTACATTGTAATCTAATTGAGTCTTTAATTAAACCTTATAAATGAGTTTTTAAACTTTATAATTCCGTTTTGGGACTATTTTGTTAAATTCAACATTAAATGGTGTATTTTTATAGGGGCATATGATAGCGAAGAGGCAGCTGCTCGAACCTACGATCTTGCGGCCCTTAAATACTGGGGTCAAGATACAACACTTAATTTCCAGGTAACTAATAAAAAAAAAAGATTTAATGTTTGACTTTATTTTGGGTTCAAAAGTTGACTTTATAAAATGGTTGGAGCAAATTTATTACACTTGTTTGGTAGTCAAGCTCTTCTCACCATCATGTAAATCTTCCTTCTATGAGAATAAAAGTAATTGATAAGTTTGTTTGTTCAAGTAGGCCCCATTTGTTACATATCGTACACGTCATGGACCGATGTCAGTTAAGACAAATTTGTAGTCTTTTCCCCGCCCAAAAAGGTAAATCAAGGTGAGAGAAAGACTCGTTTTTAACTGACATCAATGTCCACGTGTAACAAAGGTGAGCTGTAATCTTTTTCTCGCCCAAAAAGGTAGAACAAGGTGGGAGAAAAACTATTGTCTATGTGGAAGACTTAAATTCCTCTTCCTTATCATCAAAAATAGTTTTAGAAAGTTTGTCATGTCCAGTCACATCATGTGTAACAAAGACACAATCATATGATGATTGACAAGGATATGTAACCAAGTTATAGTACCATTTTAGCTTTTTGGCTTTATATATGTATCATTTTTACATTGATCACAGATAGATACATACAAAAAGGAGATTGAAGAAATGGAGAAATTGTCCAAGGAAGAATATTTAGCTTCACTAAGGCGAAGAAGCAGTGGATTTTCAAGAGGTGTTTCAAAATATCGAGGAGTGGCAAGGTACACACTAAAACCTTTCTCTGGTACTACAATATCCTTAGAGGTGACATTTCCTTTGACAAATGAAAATAAATTTTAAAGTTAAAGTAGTCATATTATTGTAAAAAAAAAAAAAAAAAAACACTTTTTAACTAATAGATTCGTGTACCAAAAGGTGGCCTAGCCCTCTTTCCCTTTTTTCAAACAATAGCAGTCGTTTTATAACATATTGTTGGTTAAACATTATCATTATAGTTGAAGTAAATGACTCATGTAACCATTATACTTCATGTTTTTTATCTAAATGACCATCATACTTTTGCAATTAAAAAACTTTTACAAAACATGAATATTCATTTCCATCATCATTGTCTTTCAATTCCATTGAGTTTTGTTTATGGTTTTCACATACCACTTCGATTTATTTGGTTAAAACAATAAAGATATGCTTTTTGAATATAAAACGTTGTTTTATTATACCAAGAAGCCTACCCAAACGTGAGTATACCATAGACGAAATTTATTGTCGTTTACTTATTGATATAATTATCTTAAACAGTTGAAATTTGAGGTCACTAGTTTAAAGTTATACAAAACCAAATGGTTGGGGGAAGTAAAGAAAGCATGTTGAATGAGTTGTGGGAATGTTCATGTTTTTTGTATGTTACATGTGAATATGTAGGTGCAAGCATGTGTTTTCTAATATATGATGTTGATTTTGGCGTATGTATCTTCACTATAATGATTGCTTTATTTTTCAAATTATATTTGTCCATTATATCATAATGATCCATCGTTACGTACTTTGACTAGTTACTTAATATTTTACTTATGATGTATCACAAAATAAAGATGCATTTTTTTTCAATAACAACTTTATTTGTTACATAAAAATACAATTGCTAATACGATACATGGTTTTTTTAGGCACCATCATAATGGAAGATGGGAGGCACGGATTGGACGAGTTCTTGGAAACAAATATCTATACTTGGGAACTTACAGTACGTATTATCTTTTACTCTTAATCATCAGTCATCATCTCATTTGTGTGTTTTCTTACTAACATGAAGACATAAAAATCCAAAAATGAGAGCTTAAGTTCAAAAATATGAGTATCATGGTTTTCTTTTAGAAATAATGATTTATGTTTCTATGTTGACCATAGAACCTCTATGGAACCATGTCATTCACCCTGTAGCCACTTTATGTATTAAGATCCTTTTAGACATGCCATTTATATCAACATATATGCATTTCTATTAAGAACACAATTGTTTACTTTGAATGCATGATTTTCTATATCATTGTGCTCACACCCAGGTCAAACTTTTGGGCACAATTTTACAATTTCAAGGAGTTTATTTATAAAAATCAATGTTTATGAATCTATGCTATAATTTAAAATTAAATAAAAGAGGGTTATTTAACAATGGTCAAATTCTATTCAGATAATAGGTTTCTTATTTGATTAAACACTTATAACATAAGTTTTTATAAATTGATTTTAGAAGTACTTCCGAATTTAGAAATTAATTGAAAGTATATTTGCACATGTAATATGCCTTCATTATTATCTCAAACCAAATTACAGAAATAGTTAATTTCCGATAAGTGAATAATGGTATTTAGTTTGACAAAAAAGAGTATTATCCTTCAAACCATTTTTGTTAATTTACATTAGAAAAATTAATTATTTTCTCCCGAATTTCATCCATATGTCAATTCGTTTGGAAAATTTTGCATATTTTAAGCCAAAAATGTTAAAAGAGGTCAAGGCAGCTTAAATATTCATAACTGAAGGCGCAAAGTGTAAATTTAAATTCTAGAAGGGTCATTAGGTTAAAGCAAATGTTCTCTGTATTTTGCTGTGCGGGTAATCGTGACATGGCACATGCTGACTTGTTCACTTTGCCTTTTTTTTTTTCCTTTCTATTTAACTGTATTATTTGATTTTTGACTCATTACACACACAATTACTTGAACATATCGCAATATACCCCTCAAATACAATGATAACATCAAGAATATATTTATAAACATATATATTAATCTTATAATGTATAACCCTTTCTTTACGAAATATATAAACAATCGTTAAATATAATCTCTTATTAAACTTTCAAGAGCATTAAAAAAAAAAAAGGATTTACCAAATGTAGATCTTGATTTTGACTTTGCCTTTGGGAGGATTCTTTGTAGCCGTACAAAACTGGCGCTTCATATTTTCCAATCAAATAGATCCCGTCTCAAAAGAAGTGCATTATTTCTTTAATTGTTATTATTATTATTATTTGGAAAATTTGTCCATTAATAATATAATACATCTTTTAAATTTGTAAAACAATAAAAATGTTACATGAATATAGTCATATACATCAGCAAAATAATACTGTATATATATATATATATATATATATATATATATATATAGTGACAGTAAAAATATAAAAATAGAGAATAAAAGTAACTTTTAAAGCCTTTTCTATCAAGTATATACTGCAACAGGGCACATGACCCTCCCTCTTCCCAATGAAATATAAAAAGGTTGTAATATAGTATGGTTGTTATTCTAAATTAACAACTCCTTATTTACTTAATTATTCGTTAACAAAAATTATATTCTATTTGAAAGAATTTGATAATTATATCTAGTAGCATTATACCATTAATAGTTAACATTTTATAATTACATTTGCAACATATATCACTGCATTTACATGTTTACTATATTTTAACTGATATAAACATGGTATACTATAACATTATTTGTTGCACAGAACCCTTATTGCAAAAGAGTAAATAAATTTTATAACTATCAAATAAAGATATGTAGTAAATTATTCCTTATACTTGTAACATTCTTTCTATAATCAAATATACTTCCTTTTGGTCCTCTATGATTCTCTATGTTGCATGTGAGTCTCATTTGTATCAAGCAAGTAGAGCATATAAAAACAAAAATGTTAGATGACTAATTGGCTTATGCACAATTTTAAAGGTACTCAAGAGGAAGCGGCTGCAGCATACGACTTAGCAGCCATTGAGTATCGAGGCGCTAAAGCAGTGACCAATTTCGATATTAGTATATATGCGGATCGCTTAAAAAATGGCGCATCACAAACCCAAGCTACTCCTGAATCCACAGAAGTCATAACCTCGTTGAAAAACGAGCATAACGAAGAGCCTCATCATGACCTAAACTGTAAGCAGCAACAACAACAACAACAACAACAACAACAACAAGATCATGAAGCAACAATAGTGGAAAAAGAAGAGTCTTTACATGAGATGCATGACCTTGACTTCCCACCTTCGGTTGAGGAAGATCATCCATGGAGCTTGTGCATGGACTCAAGTTACAATCTCCTTCCGGTTCCACACATTCCTTTTGATAAATCAGGCGACCTTCTTGACTTGTTTCATGGTACTAGTTTTGAGGATGATATTGATATAATTTTTGATGGGCCATTCTCGATTGGAAACGAGTTGGAGAAAGTGCATGTATGTATCACTTCGCCTTCATCTTCATCATCATTATCATCATTATCATCGTCGTCTACAACAACCTCCCTTTCTTATCCAAGTTCCCATTGCTGAAGAGAAGGTTGAGTCCTTTGATTTGGTATTGTTTTGTGTTTTTGTTTTTGTTTTTGAATTTTATGCTGTTGTTTCTAGTGGATTATAGAGATCATTAAATAGTTTGAGCTTTCTTTTGTTCTCTTTATTTGTTGTTAGTTCGTTATAGACTTAGATCAACAAAACAAATGGCTGTTTCGTGGGTTGGGCTGGGATGGGCCTATTTTGTTAAATGGGTCACGCTTAAGGCCTAGGGTTTGCATAATTGCATTGCAAAATAAATTGTAGTTGTATAAAATAACACACATGTAAAAAAAACTTTACTAAAATGGTAAGCACAATTACTTAAATCAGAAAGTCAATCTAAATAGTAATCAAACTTTTATACACATGCAACACTACATAGGGACCGAAATATCATATAACGTAAGGTGCTTGTGATTAGTTAGCGATGAAGTGCATTCCAAATTGAAGAGCAATATCGTTACGAATATGCTTTAATATCATTAGATGATCCTTTAATTATTATTATTTGTGTCATGACTACAAACTCCGTGAAGCTTATAACATGGCATGTAATCATGAAGTTGCTCGAGTATAAAAAACTTGGTTTTTTAGTTGTTACGAATGCAGATAAGCAAAAGAAATATGGGCATAATAAATTTTGGATATTTTAGGGTCAGTTATAAGCTTCTTGCTCATTTTTCATATTGAGAATGATGGTGTATCTTGTATTGGAAGTAAGCTAATTATTCTTTTCTTTTCAGACTTCATTATACTTTATATGTCTGTGGGGATTTCATTTATGACACATTACAAAAACATGTGTCATGTGATATGCGGCATCTCAGTAAAATTATATAAAAATAAACAAGCAAACGGGAAGCTAGCATATAAAAGAAAAAGTTACAAAGAAATCACAATACAAAGATGCTAATACACAAAACACCCCTGGACATAGATCTAGGAATGTAAACCGGTCTGAATCGGACCGAAACCAAAAGAACCGAAACATGTTAAGAAGTGAACAGGGAACCAAGAACCGGACTGAATACCACTAACCAGTTTTGATTCGGTTCGTTTCATTTGGAAGTGTGCTATCTAAGAAGGTGTTCGGTACCAGAACCGGTTTAAACCGGATCGGAACCGAAAGAACCAAAAACCGAAAATGATTAATTGGGGGAACCAGAAATCGGACCGAATACCACTAATCGGTTCCAACTAGTCCAAGTTCAGTTTTTCAGTTAAAAAGTTCATCCCTATAAAGCATCACTGTACCTAAGGCCATCGGGTATGGCTGATGTTTTTACGCGTAAAGGGTGAGGTGCCAGGGTTGTTCACGCGTGAACACCGCCCCTAGCCCATAAATGCAGTGTGGATTGGTACTGGCTACGTGTCCTTACGACCGATAGGGTTCAATTTCGCAAACGCTCAAAAATTAACCCGTTAACAATTTTATAAAAAAAAATCCCTTTTTAACTTTAAATTAAACCATATAAATACCAACATTTTTACACCATTTCACACCTCAAAACCTTTCAAATATCTCTTTCTATTCTCTCATTTTTTTTCTCAAAGTATGGATCAAAATCAAAATACCTCAACCACTCCAAACACCCCAACAACCCCAAACACTCCAAATGATCAATATCAAGGTCTTAACTACATGCAAATGTTAACATCCTCAATCCAACAACAACCTCTATTTACCAACATTTCATATCAACCAAACTACTTCCAGCAACAAAGACCACAACAATTCGATCAACCCCAATTCCAAACTTTTCAACAATTTCAACCTCAACAATTCCAAACACAACCATTTCAATAATTTCAAACACAATCATCTTAAGTCTCATTATCTCAATCCCAACCTATAAACCTAGACAATGACAAAGACGAACGGATCCAAGAAACACAACCATCTAGAAGAAGGCAAGCAAAAGGAAAAACTACAAAAAAAAAAAAGATGAACGACATAGAATAGAACGAACATGAGGAGGAAGCTTTATCTAGCGCTTGAATTTTTATATCGTGTGACTCGAGGACAGACAACGCGCAAACGGGAAACAGTTTTTGGCTTCGTGTTTTAGATCACTTTCATTCACTTCTGGGAAGGCAAACGAATTGAACGTACAACGCGGTCAATGGAAAATGGCGTGAATTACGAGCGGCTTGTGATGGGTTTTGAGCATAACAAACAATCCCTATGTGCGCATGCAACCCTAATATTCTTGGATCTATGTTTTCTCTAATTGAACATACAAGTATTAAACATCAAAAGGAAAAACCTAGGACGCATATACTATTTTTGAAATCTATAACAAAAGATAGAAAACATACCTTTAATTGGTATGTAGTAATAACAATATGAATCCAAGACTTCTTGAAGCTTGAGAGCAAGTGTCACGAGTGTAACACCTCTAATGGCTCACACTTAAACTAGGCGAGATGATGAGAGAGGAGAGAGGAGGAAAAGTCTTGAGAAATTCGGCTATTCTTCTAAGGTTAAGATGTTGGATTAGGTGTCTAAGCCCATAACTATAATTGGTATGTACTTAAATTGATAGCAGCACAGTCCTTTTG